GTTCGGTGGGGCAATGACGAGTAACTCACAGAATAAGGCCTTATTCTGTGGAGTAACTATCAAGTTTGACAGTTTGCAATTATTAGGTACCTACCTTCGGTAACGCGATTCATTAGTAAAATTGGCATTCATTTGATAAAATTCTGTGTTGCCAGATCGTTTCAGACAAATTCTGATGCTTAGCTAAGATGCGAACTTAAAATTTTGGTGCAACGTAATTTAATTTTAAGGACGCCTTACAATTAAGACCGCCTTGCCTAAGGTACAGCTTATATTTTGTTGGAGAAACCGGGCATAAGTCTCTACTCAGTAGTAGTATTTACGAATTGCGATATTGTGCTTCCCGCTTGTGTGGTGGTCATGCGTTCGTTCAAAAAATTAAAACGGTGCCACATTATTTTACACAAGAACAAATTTACGGCAAAAATCCTTCCATATTACTGGTACAGTCGTATTCCACCTAGCGGAAAACTAGGGAAAAATTGGGCTACTATTTGATACCTTCCTAAACAAATTTCTTGAAACATCCTGATCTACAGCATTCATGAACATTAGCTAATTATATAGTAATTTATCTAATCCATATCATTAGGAACGACATAACAATGTGCAGGATCATGCCAGGTAGTTTCTTTTGTTTTCCCTTTCAAGTAATGAGTTGTCGCCTCAGGAGTTACAGTGCAATTTGAGTTGCCTATACTTACGTTAGCGTTTTGATTTTTTTCTGAAGATCGCGATAATTATTTTTTAAAATATATGCATTATCATAATAGGTGGAAATAATATCTTAAGTACCGCCGTAGGAAATACTGTCGGATTTCCAAATTGGTGCTGTACGTTTTTCTACTCCCATTACAACAACTGTTATTTACGAAAAACGATTTTTCTATTCATCGATCTTCCTAAAAAACTAAGACCGATATTTCAATTTTTTTAATTACCGCCCTTCTTTTCATCATTGCAAATAATATCCACTATCGAGAATTTGTTAGACTGCAACTACAAAAGCAGCATTTCATAAGAACGTTTAGCTATTTTTTCCAATATGGCGGATTGACTACAGAGGAGCCTTCCTCGTAGCCTTCCCATAGTTGTAATTACGGTCTCCATGGCTAAGTAAATTCAAAATCAAATCAAGGTCAACCTCCGTTAACGACAAAATAGTTTGAATTGCTTTGGGCATTGTGTAAATATGGGTTCCACATATCTGCACGATAACCGATTCGTATTTTGGCATTCATGTCGATCACGTAGATTTTAGAGTCGGATTCGAGTACAGTAAAACAAAGTTTCGTAAATCTGTCAAAAAATAGCATCAAAAACCAAGTGACGATTACTATACATTCACCTTCGCTTACGTAATTTCAGTTCCAGTTTATGAAATACTTACGTGCGTTCATTGTGAACAAGCACCTTATTATCATTTCCAAGGTAAATTAGTGTTCACCTGGGATGGGAATAATTTTATCAGTAGATATCTAAATAGATTAATAGCCTTCATGACGTCGTACTAATTGAATTAATAAGTCTAATTACGCACTGGGTTTAATAATTATCATCTCTTGCGTGGGGAGTAACTGTTCTTCCAAACTTATAAATGCGCTACGATGGTGGATGCAACAGTTGTACTACTGAACATGATCATTCTTGTAGCAGTCGCTCTATCATACTTCTTTGCAACACCAGAAGCGAGAACTGTACGTGTTGAGTATGTGAAGGTTTATAATAACAATTCTTGTAGGTACCACCCGATTTAGTGGAACATTGGAGGGAGATGGTGTTACCCTATCATAAACTTTGTTTAAACGAAACGCACGACAATCCCGAACCTATCATCCATATGCTGGCCGAGTTCACACTTCCTGAAGAAAAAGTAATACATTGCTATTGGAAGTGCTTTCATGAGCACATTAAATTTGTGGTCAACGGGAAAATGGATGTCGATCTAATGGTGAAGACGGTATACAAGTTAACACCAGAGTTGGCAGAAAGGTGTGTGGAACAAGCAGAACGGGAGGAAGAACCTTGTCAACGATCGTACATACTTGTACAGTGTGTAGTTATGAATGAGGTGGACTGAAGAGAATGATTCGGTCATATTTCTGACGTAATTATTAGTTACAAGATGAACTTACAAAAAAATATTGTGAATTTTCTACATAATTATTTATTTATTTACTATCCCTCTCTTGTTCTGGGCCCTCAACAGGCTTACGCCCAATTACAGAGTGACCCGCATAATGCTTTTTAGAGGTGCCTCTGCAGAAGGTCTTAAGTTGTTCTATAGTGTAACGTGCGTGCGTATAGTAGAAAGGCAGGTATAAGACTCTTTATTGAGTATGGAAAATACAAGTGATAAAATTCAACCTTCATTCTAATATCTAACCCAACACCCTTATCCTTAATTTTAAAGTAGAAAAATTATATACCTAAATTAAACTTATTTCCTAGGTCTTAAATAATATCGTTTACCTTCCGTAACCGAGCTTTCTGCAACACAGGGTGTTTGATTTATGTCAGTCAGGTTACTAGAAGACGAATGTTCAGTTTCTGGTTCAGGAAGGGCCAATGAATCACGAATCTTTAAAGGGATGATTTGATCAATATGTCTTTTAAAATTTTCTTTCGATTGTGAAGCAACTTCAAAAACTGAACTCCCTTTTTGCGTTTCTATTGTACCTTCCTGCCAGGATGGTTTTAAAGGATTAGAAAAATCTCTAAAAAGTACATTATCTCCAATTTCTACCCTCTTATCTTTACCTCCATAATTACGAATTTGCCGTTGTTGATTGCTCTGTACAATATCTGCCGTGTAAGGCCTCACTAAATCTAAACGAGTACGCAAGCGACGACCAAACATTAATTCTGCAGGTGACTTGTTTGTGGTTGAGTGTAACGAATTTCTATAATCGAAAAGAAATTTTTGTAATCCGAAATCGTAACTTTTGTTTTCGTGTAAACATTTTTTGAAATATTGCTTAACTAATTTAACAGAATTTTCTGCTTGGCCATTGCTACTTGGATGATATGGTGCAGTTAAAATATGAGTAATTCCATTACAATGAAAATAATTATGAAGTTCGACGGAATTAAATGGCGGGCCATTATCACTACAAACAAATTTAGGTAATCCAAATCTAGCAAATATGGATCTAAGTGCCTCGATGGTTTTTTCTGCAGTCGTCAAATTCATTTTTAAAACTTCGAGCCACTTAGTATGTGCATCAGTAATTACCAAATATTTACTACCTTTAAATGGACCTAAAAAATCTAGATGAATACGTTCCCACGCATTTTGAGGCCATTTCCAGATGTGTAGTTCGGTTTTTTGAGGTAGTGGACGAACAGAGTTGCATGCTGCGCAGTTTCTGCATAAATCTTCTATCTCGTCATCGATGATAGGCCACCAAACGTAAGATCTTGCCAAAGATTTGCATTTATTAACTCCGAAATGGCTACTGTGGAGTTCTTTCAATATGGAAGATTGTAATATTACTCCGGTATTTACCTTACGAATTAGGAAAACTGCCGCAATCGGGATTTCACGCTATTCTCCTTCTACCTCTTGCATAGTTTCCTTTTTCTCCTGCTTTTCTTGTAGTAGGTAACTTGACAAAATGTTTTCATTCCTCCAATTGAATTTCCCTCTCACTTGTTCTTCTCTCTCTGTTTATCACCTTTATCACCAGAACATCTCCTGACTACAATACTTCGGAAGCCTTATAAATCTGGCGGTCCCGGCAGTCGTATCACTGTTGATGCGACCTGAAAACGTCTGTACCTAGGAAGTGCCACCCATACGATATGATACCTACCATACGATTCCTTTTTTTGTTTTATTTTCCCTGTTTTGCTCTTCATATGCTTTGTTTTTGTTCTCTCACCTCTTTCTTCTTTATTTCCCTCTTTTTTCTTTCTTCATCATTTATGTCTCTCTTCTGTACTCTCTTTGCCCAGCCCCTGGCCCAGCCACTCCTTTCATTTTCTCTTCCCTCCCTTTCAGTTACTTTCTCCCAATTTTTTTCTTCTATCAATGATTCTACCATCCTCATGTATTCAATAAGCAAAACTCACTACGGTCCCAAAAACGCTAATACATTTGGACATTGAGTGGGAAGATTCTTGTAAAAAAACTCTAAAGCTATATGCAGTAAATCTAATTCTAAAATTAATCTTTCCAGTGTCTCATTAAAAAGTATATGTTTTACGATTTTTCTCCTGGAGTTGCGGCGATCCCATAGAAATTATCTAGATTCTGGATCCCCTAGGAAGTTCGTGTTCGTGAAATAAGAATGGACAATGTTCCACAAAATGTAGATAGATTTGCCTTACGTTCATCTCCTCCTACGTCCCCAGCCTTTCTGTAGTCAACTAGTCAAGGTGCGAATTGGTTGATAATAGCATTAATTCAACGTTTCTTAACTTTACGCGGTTGGTAATAAGTATTATAGTCGTATTATGTTTTATATCGGACGATACTGCTATTTTCACTTTGGGAAATTGTGCATGTAAACAAAACAAAATAAATCTCCCCCACCAGATTTTTGCTCAAAAACCTCGCTGAATCCAAATGCGAAACGGACCTATTAACTTTATCTTTACATACATTTTAATTGGTAAACACATGAGCGTGAGTCTACACCCCCAATTTACCTACTTATAGCTGACAATCCAGTAGTAGGGACCAAAAAATAATAGGCAACACAACAACCCTTATATCTCATACTCTTCTTTTATATTATTGATTTCATTTGGTTTACAGATGAGCGTAAAAGTTAAAGAATATTAATTAGGTTCATTTTAATTAAGGGTAGCCTTGACTTAATTTTATTTGCAATATGTTTGTTTACATATTAGTATTGCTAAAAAATAATTTTACTCGGTAAACAGATGGGCGAAGGTTGATCTATGTGGGATCTTAGACTATAAATAATATTGCAATGCAACAAAAACGTCTCCGATAGTGGGTTCACTGGTCGGCTGAGATCATTTAACCAGGAGTACTTTAACGGTTTTTCTACGGCCATCTCTAGCCTATAGTTCTGCCACTGTTTGATGCTTTCATGTCTACTAGCTAAGTTCGAAGGAGAATGATCCTTTGGACTATTACAAAACTGTTCAGTATACGAACCTGTATGTGTAAGTATTAAATGCTAATGAGTGTAATCCATTCCCATTGCAACATACTCAAATGTACTCGTAATAATTAACCGATTTAGTAGGAGCAAATGCGAATTGAACGTCATTGTTTTATTGGTAAGCGACCCGAACGTTCTTACAGTTACAATGCTGATTATTAGTGTTATCCTGCTGGGCTTCTTTATTCCTGCAATGAATTCTCAAGAGGTTAGTATACATTATGCCCACATCTGAAAACGCTATCATTATGTTTAAATTAAGATTTCGCAATACATTCAAGATGTTTGGAGAAACGTGACGCTACCACATCACGATGCTTGTGTTATTGAATCACAGATTGATCCTCTAATAGCCGAAACCTGGCTTCGAGATTTTCATATGCCCGACGACGACTATTTCGGTTGCTTTTTGAAGTGTCTCTACTCAAGTTTGAATTTTATGAGATCGGATGGAACATTCGATCAGCACGAGATAGTCGATGTAGCTCACTATATGGACCACGATATGGCCGAGATGTGTTTGGAGAACATCGACGTTGAAGAGAATCTCTGCAAAAAATCTTACAACTTGTGCTGGTGTGTTGTACATGCGTTAGCCGAATGGCCAGAAGAATATTAGTTTTTTGGAAGTCAACTTAGAGTAATAAATAAGTTTTTTCTCATATTGGTATTTTATTTATTATGGAGTTTAGACACTGACTAATCGCGAAGGTCTTGGAAATATGTACCTACACAAAATTTGGTACATTGAATTATTTTGTGCCTGCTTTGTAGTGCTGTGTTGTGTATATCTTCAAATTTTTCACATGGAACATTTTTGTTCTTATTTTATTACAACCTTTTTTCTTGCTGGTTCAAATTCGTGTTACTGTAAACCCAAAATTGCATGTTTATGGTAAATAAGTCTTCCCAGAGAATGTTACAGTTTGTTTATTTGCCTCCGTTAGTTCATTAATTTGAACTACATCCTAAAGTCACTTCAAAAATTAAGGATGTGGTTTAAAGGTTACCTAAAAACACTAAATACAATACATGGTTTGTTTTTTGCATTCAGTATGCAAAACAATTAAATTGTTAAATAATGACCCTTGCATTGGGAAAAGCACTTTTTAGTACTTTGTATTTTTATTTTATTTCTAAATCATTTCTATTTTCAGCGCATTTTTTAGGAATTAAAAAAATGTGCCATTGTTTGCGTTTTGTCCGTCCGTCCAGACCTACTTCTACCGTTTCGAACTACTTCTAGGGGAATGGTCCTAGAATCCTGGAATTTTTTGCAGTAGGTAGCCTATACCTTGAAGGTGTGCCAGACGGCCATCAAATTTCGCTGTCTAAAAGGGGGGCCTCCCCACAAATTATTTCCTGAGATGCTGTTTTTTAAAGTAAAGTTGTTATATCCTTCATGGTACTCTAATGAAAGGTCTCAACGAAAGGAATTAATTTCTACCAACCATAGCCCTCCTCCTCGACCTCTTATCGTGATCGGGTATATTCCCTTATACTTCAAGAACGGATTGTCGGAAGAGGGTACTCACAAAGGGCGATTGAGGCGTCTGCACCATTGGTGATGTCAAAACAAAAGCTATTTCGGTTTTAAAAAATACGCTTTATCTGCACAAGAGTTGTGTATAATGTATACTTGTTTACTGTTATTAATGATGGATATTTTTCAATCCAACTGTCATTCTTTGCTATAAAAACAAAACCCACCTTCAGTTACTGGTCACTCAAATGATTATAGAATCATCTTCATCCTCACATTGCACATTGTGTACAGTAGTGCGGCGGTTGCTTATAGAGGAGCCAAATCTCATAAATAAATAGTTGCTAAACCCGACTAGCTCTTTAGGGGTAGTAAAAAAAACTACTTTTCGTACTTCCGGGAGTAAAGTAACAACTTCACTCCATTATGACAAGTACTGAAGTGTCACTTTTTGTCCCGCCGGGATTAAATTTAGACGAAAATCCCGGAAGGATGTAATTACTAACAAGGCAATTTCAGTAGGTTGTTCCACATTTTGTATGCGGCACTACTTCATAAACGCGTCGTACTGCTGCTCATACAGTTTTTTGGATTTCGGTGGTATCAATTCTTTACCTACTTTTTATCAATATCAAATGCACCTCTGTCACCCACCACCAAAATTATGACACTAGCAATGACAGTTTCCAAATTATTTTTGTTACCATGGCATAGGGATTGTCATACCAACGCAACGTTCCTATGGTAACTTGTTAAGCAGCGATTTTTTGAAAGAACGCGTTCTCTAACTCCATACAGATTTAAGTGTTTCAGTTTCGGAAGTACGAAAAATATCGTATATACCTTGCGACTGAAGTAGTGGTCTTAATCCCTCAGGTAAATTACTTTACCTTCGGGATTAAAAGTACTACTTCAGTCCCGCGGTATATAATGTACTATTATTCCACTGCCATTTTTGTTATATCCACTTGACGCCCAAAAGTTGTCGGTTACGTTACAAATAGTTCTTTAATTATTTTTGAATCAGGCCAAAATCGTTTTTATTATTGCAACGGGTTCGCATATAAAGGGGGGTGGACCCTCCCTTCTTTGGAATAAAATTTTAACTTTCTAAGCTTGTTCGTAAAGTTTCGAATATATTGGCGTAAATCAAAAAATGAAATAGTTCCAATTTTCAATTCCCATAACAAGTCTTCCCATTTACGATTTTCACTAGTAAATTCATCCCAACTAGATCAATTGTTGTGGCCACGACCTTTGTGAATTACCCCTAACTTAATGCAAAACCTGTCAACAATATACGGCACAATTTTTTATACACAAATTACCATGAGTTTCGAGATTTACAAACTAACTAAATGAAAACTGAATTTTTCTATCAAATTCAATTCAAATGGGTCCATAAATGGTAAAAATACCTAACGGCTTCAAATTTGGTTGATATCTTTCAGAAAACATAAATAATTTGCGATGATCTTTCTTAAAGATAGGCAACGTTTAATTTTACATAAAAATAAAATAACGGTACCTCATATAAAACTGGCCTTCTGCAGGTGACGATGATAAAAAAAAATAGGCCACGACGCTGATTCGGAAAATTAAAGAAAATAAAACTGTACATTGGAACTTCCGTTCAGCGAAATTCATTGGTAAATTTTTCGGTGAAGCAAATGTTTTCTGCGCGTAGATTTTTGACCGGTTAGTCCCTGTGTTTATCCTTTTTTTTTGTTATTGTTGCATACGCGCCGAAGCAACTGGCCCCTTTGTAGTGAACAAAACACCGGCCCGTTTAATTGATTAGTCCTTGTTCCTTGAAATACGTTCGAATTAATTCATTCTTGATGTTACACACAATTCCGTGAAACCCGCGTAGTTAAACTGGATAAAGAAAGAAACTTCAATGAATAATTTTTTGAGTTTTACCCAATCAAATTTTTTATTCGGTCAGTCAACTGCATCTGGCAATGTGCCCATGCAAATGGCTGACTTTGGGGCCCAACCCCTACGATGTAGCAGTATGCGCCTTAGATCCATGTTCACTTATAGAGAAATATATGGACTGGTGCAGAACCACACTCTCCATTATCATGCTCTGAAATTATATCCACAGGCTAACATATTTTTCATGAATGGAAACTATCAGAACCGTCATGGACTCTCTTACGCGTGTTATTCTGAGCTAATCTTCAAAGTGTCAATACTTACTACAGTCCCTTGAAATTGTATGGGTCAAAGGCACACTGGTACAAAGTACTACACCAAGAAAATTAACCTCAAAATCATTTCTGAACAAACTACAAAAGTTTTCCGTGCTTCGAAGTCTGACAAAAGTAAAACTATTCGATTAAATAAAATCAAATCTGAGTATGTTGCCAATTGAACCTTTCGTAGCCCGCATTTAAAATTACATTTCTAATTTCTGGTGCTGTTAAAAACCCTTTTATGGCATCCTGTTTTCCGAAATGCAAACACATTCTCGTGGACCATTACACAAGCTGATGAATAAATAGGTTGACATTTTTACATTAAATAGAGAATTAAATTGTAATGATACTGCTCAAGCACACGATCATAAAAAATTAACGATTGAGTGTCAGAAAGCGCAAGTATAAAAGTGAAAAGCCGTGGCATCGTTTGTGATTCGAACGAACGTTGTTACAATGAGGTTCATTATTTTTCTACTGTACATTTTTATAGTGAAATCTCATTCGCAGAGGGTTTGTATTTTTTTATTAATGTGTTCTCAGCTGAAAATATTTAACATCTTTTCTTTAGATTCCAGAAGACATTCAAGTGGCTTGGAAAATCATCACGAAACCTTATCACAATGCGTGTGTGATGGAATCACACATCGATCCGTATCTAGCGGAAAACTGGGTGCGTGATTTTCACATGCCAGACACGCCAGCGTTCGGGTGCTTTATAAAGTGTCTTTATCTAAATCTGAATTTTATGAAGCCAGATGGAGCCTTCGATGTACACGAAATGGTAGATGTAGCTCATTATATGACCCATGATTTGGCGCGAATATGTTTGAAGGACATAGACGTTGAGAAGAATCACTGCAAAAGATCATATAAGTTGGGCACATGCATCGTGAATTCATTAGTCGTATAGCTAGATGGTGAACACGTAAAGTTATTACAATTACAATCTTTAATATTTGTTTATATGGCTCGGGCAAACGTCAGATAAGCCACAATTATGTCCACACATAGGTATGACTTATTTTTGGTTACTTATTAACACATACTTCGACCATTTAAACCTGGACTGTGTAACGAGTGGTTTGATTTCGCGCCAAATTTCATTAAAAATTTCGAAATTCCTTGTCATGATAGTGCAGGTCACCCTGTATATTTCATTATTTGTTCCGGTTAGAAATTTTGTGTTTGGGCATTTCGGTTTGCTCAAGACTATGGTCCGATAGATTTAATTTCGCTCAGATTTAATTTCGTCGTGGGAAGAGTGCAAAGCTGATTGACGTCATCATGAGTAATGCGAGTTTTTTGTCGTTCGTTTATCAACTTTGGCGCCGTCTAGACCGAGAATAGGAGCGGATATAGCACCGAGCCATCAAGAGATAAGGAGTTTTCCACGTCATCAGCAGAAAACCGTGAGATCAGTTTTAGTCAGCAGTTCTTTGAGGTTGACAACGAAGTTAGAGGGGGTTAAGTCTTCTTTATCTGAACCAATGGGAGAATTTCTAGCGGGAGCCATTTTTGTTTTATGGTAATTTGGGTGTGGTTTTTTCATTTCAATTCTGAAGAAGGGGAGCGTTTTAGAAGAGACTCGCGTTTAGTACGTCGAGGGGTCAACACGTACTTTGAGTGATCGCGTTTTAGAAAAGACTCGCGGTTGGTACGTCGAGCGGTCAACACGTACTTTGAGCGATCGTTTTGGCGGTGTGAACCACCGGTTTATTTCGGTTGCTCCCAGTTGCGTGCTTTTTGCACCCGTTCCGAAGTGTTATTTTCTTTTCGCGTTGATTTTTTGGCGAAGAAGACCCAGGTTCCAATCAGGTGATATTTGGGCGAACCCTTGAGCTTCACCCCAGTTTACTTTGGATGCAGTGAATCGCGTTAGGATACGTTGTGATTTCTCGAGGATATATAAATCAAAGTGCTGCCCTAGTCCTCAAGGCGCAGAATTTCGGGATCCGCCCCAGGTGGAATTTCC